CCACTTGCTTCCCAGCTCCACCCTCCACCAGGATAATCCTTCTCATCTACCAAGTCCCTTCAGAAAAATATCTTCCATTGTCCAACCCATGATCTGGCAGTTTGTTTCTTAAGCCTTTCTTGGCTTCTGTGATTCCAAAAACGTTGACGGCTGACATGTCTCTTAAGTTTGTTTACACATGGATGTTTTTGTAAGCTGTACACTCTCTGTTTTGAAATGATTTTTTTTTTAGTTCTTGTACCTCTTTATCTATACTCTTAATTCTTTCTTCTATCTTTTGCATTTTCCTCCAAAGCTGTTCAAGTTGCTCCTCATCAATATATTTCCTCTGGATTGTTGTCTCTTGAGGTATTTCTCTTATTGATTTCCATTATTTTTTCCAGCATTTGTATCTTTTTTCTATAGCTGATCAAATAACTCTACATCAACATATTTCTTCTAGTTCTATCTGGATTATTCATTGGGTCTGATTTTTTAGGAGAAGGATTATTTTGGGTTTTGTTTATGATGCTTAAGGTGGATTGCTGCTTTCTTGACATTATATGTGTCTTTTTTTTTTAAATTTTTGTGTGTGAGTGTACCGTCAAATCAGATCTGACTGGTACAGGAGGAGATTGTCCCTCCTTTTCCCTGCAGAGCATCTGGTGGATTCAAACCGTGTGCCTCTGGGATTGTAGTTGCAGCTCCTTGCCACTAGGCCACCAGAGCTCCCCTTATGTGTCTTTTCTTAGTAGATATTAGGCTGTTGTAACTATGTATTTACCCAGAGTACAGTAATGCTTTGTGAAGCAGCTATAAATTTGTGCCCCCTTCTTGGCCCAAGGTCCCTACAGTACCTGAATGACAAACCAGGAAGCTTTTTGGTCCCCTTCAGAAATTGTTTCTCTGTGTGCCTTGAGATGCCCCAGTCCCTTCTGCCTAAGCTTAAGGGATCCAGTGTGGTGTAGCTAGACAACAGTATTTCCCCCAGAGTACCTGTGATATTGGTGCTCTTAGCACTGGAAAGCAGGAGCGGCAGCAGGATGGCCTTTAGGCTGTGAGGCAGTGAGTCCTCCAGGTCGTGGTAGTACTCTGGTACTCTGGGTGGGATTGTGCTTTAAAACTGTAGCCCCTCAACCTGGTAGGCAGTGCTTCTGTTGCTGACCAGGATGTGAGTGCACCTGGTCTGGGTTGGAACCTTTAGCATATACATGGGATGCAGTGGCTCGAAGTCCTTTCTGGGTTGGCCATGCTACACATGTGTTGGTGTCTTGTAGCAGAGAGAAGGTAAAGTCCTCCAAAGAGCTGATCTCATGAAAGGCACGGGACTCAAGAGAGGAATGGGACTCACAAGAGGCCTTTACTCCATGCTTTATTTCTTCTATAACCCAATCATGTTATAGCAGGGTGTTATTTAGCATCCATGTTGGTAGCTTTATCAGCTTTATCATTTTATAGTTAATTTCTAGTTTTATGGCATTGTGATCTGAAAAGATACTTTGCATTATTTCAGTTTTAAAAGATTTTTTTAGGCTTGCTTTGTGCCCTAATATGTGATCAGTTCTGGAAAATGTCCCATGTGCACTTGAGAAGAATGTGAATTGTGTTTTAGTTGGGTACAGTTCTTGGAATACATCCACAAGATCAAGTTGGCAGAATGTGTCATTTAATTCTTCTGCATCTTCGTTAAGTTTCTTTTGAGTTGACCTATCCTTTGGTGAGAGTAGTGTGTTAAAGTCTCCTACCACTATTGTGGTGCTATTTCTTTCTTCAATTTTATTAACAGGTTAATGGTGGGAGTGGGGGTTGAACACCAATTTTCGCCAGGTATCTACACAAAGAAATGGATCTGGATGCATCAGCTCCCTGTTAGCTACACTTCAAATGCACCAGACCAATTAATGGTCTGTGCACCCTTTAGTGGCCAGTCTACTTCAAACATCAGCCATTCTACCTGGCAGAGGGTTTTCAACCTCCCAGGGCTCGTTTTTATTTCTTAGTCCCCAGTGTTTGTCTCCTTGAAATTTATCAACATTAAGTCTAAAATAATGGGTTTACTCTGACTTCCTCCCATTTGAACTACTTCTGTGTGTGGTTTTGCAAAACTCAGACAAAGGGTGGGGGACCTAGAATCCTGAGACCACACAGGTGTCCCCCTGGCCCCACCCCTGGAGGAGATTTAAGGTGTGTTTTTGCTTAGGTGTACCTGTATAAAGTCCAAGCTAGGTCAATTTCCCACTAGAAATTGAATCATCATTATGCTGTATGACGTTACCATGGAACTGCAGGTCAAGACCCACTCAGACTCCAAAGTATGATCTGTGGAGCCACAAAGACAGTCATTCACCACTCATTCTGAAGTTATTACTGGGAGGACTGTACAGACTCCATGTTTGCCTAGCCTTCATCTTAAGCCTGACCTGGGCCTAACCCTAAAAGTCATCAAATTCCAGGGACAGGCCATAAAAAAATTCTTCACCAAAGCCCCTTGCCCACCAATCATGTTCCCAATTACCTCATCTTGGTAAACCTGCCCTACCTTAACCCATAAAAGGCTTGTGCACCCGCACCTTGGGTCGCCATTTTCTACTGAATGGTGGACCCTTGCCTGCATGCTGGAGTTTGTTCTGCGCAATAAAGCACTCTTACTATTTGCATACGTGAGTCAGTGGTCTTTCTGGTGGTGATTTATGGACCTAACAATTACAATCCCTCTAATGAAATTCCTTCCTGAGCCAGCTCTGGTTTCTTGCACAATCCTGGTACAGTACTCCTGAGTAGCAGGCATTAATCAGATGCCTTCTCCTCCTTCCACTTAGGTAGGCTATCTTACAGTTATTCAGTGGACTGTTCCTTTAGTAGATTCCCTTAGTTGACCTCCTTAGCTGTAGGTCCTTGTGGCATTTCTCTGAGAGGGGCCCAGCTGGCAGGCCAGCAATAGTGCCTGGGCCATAAAACCTGTGATTGGTGCATGTTACTGAGGCTCGATGCTGCCCTCTGGTGGTCCCTTTCGGGAAGCTGCTCAGTGAAGGCGCACCTCCTCTATCTCCGGGCAGGTTTCCTTGATGCACCAGAAATGTTGCATTCAACTTCCTGTCTAGCGACTCCATGTTTCCTGGTTTTGCTTAGCTACCATCTTCTTGAGTCTGGGCCTACCTTAAACAGGTTTCCTATTTTTGCTTAGCCTGGGCCCTCTTAGGCCTGGGCCTGCCTCAGGGCCATTCATTGATAGCTTTCACTGCTTTCAACCGAAGATGGAGGGAGCCTTCACATGCTGGTTGACAATCAGTGATGCCTGCCATCTCAACTATGACTTCTGGCTTGTCTATGTGCTTGGAAACAAGGCCCTGGTCATTGACACATTCCAGGACTCCTTTCAGCTGCCCAAGGTGATGGATTCTGACCACTGTCCTGTGGTGCAGCCCTGAGTGTGTCCTTTTTACCCACAAAACAGAGTCCATCCATATGTACCTGATTCCTCCCAGAGTTTTCAAGTTCCAAGCTCAAGATCCTTCAGTTCCTAGTTCATCTTAAACGAGATATTGTGCTCTGTCCGTCATCACTACAGTGCAACACTCAAACCTGAGTACAGATACCAAAAGAAAGCCCAGGTATACTCAATCAGGTCTCAGCCAAGGCTCCAATAGAGGCTGGGAGAACCCTATAAGCTACTTCCAGCCCTCTTCTAGACATCTCCAAGCCTCTCCAGTCTTGGAAATTCTTAGCCCTTGTGACACTAGAAGTGATGGCAACCAAAGTTGTAGAAGTGCAGGCCAATACCTCAGAGGTCAAGGATGAAAGGAAGTGAGGATCTTGTGCTCAAAATCTCTGCTTGCTCATACCCCTCTGTGGGGCTATAGGGAGCGATGTGTGATGCAGACTGTAGAAAAATTAAGACTCAACCTAGACTGCAATTTCCACATTTGTGTCAGCCTCCAGGGTCCTCCCACTCACGGACTCCTCTTATACAGCTTCTTCTTTTGGAGCAGACTCAGCTGAACTAGTTCAGGCCTAGAGAAAGCTGGCATGGTAAATTTTATATAGTGTCTTGAACTAATTTCCTTCCTTCTAAGCTACCATTTGTTACTAAGCTGTCTCCTTTCCCTCAAATCCTTCCTTTCTTTCCTCTGGTATCAGAGAACCCTTCTTTTTTCCCTTCTTCTTCAAGGTGAGTTTTCCTTTCTCTCCTTCTTCCTTTATCCTTACTGGTGAGGTATTTTGTTGTTTTTGTTTGTTTGTTTGTTTGTTTGTTTGGTTTGGTTTGGTTTACCTTTATGCTGTGACTCAGTTCTTCACTCCACCTCCCATTTTCCTGTGAGAAATGCATAGGAAACAGTTGCCTCAGAAAACTGTGCTTCTAAGCCCCATTTACCTTGTTGGCATATTAATTTGTATATAAATAAATTCTATGTATGTTTCAACATATCACATCATGTGAATGTTTTAGATGTGCTCTATGAAGTTGAGTTAGAGAAGCTGTCTCATTACTAAGTTTTCCCATCTCCTGTAGTCTGATAATACAACTCTCAGGAAGAGTGGAAGGAAGAAGAGTGGTTCCTATTGTAAAGGGCTAAGGCTTTATCAATAAGGGAGATGGGTTCCGTATGACCTTTACAGCCTGTGTGTGCCATAGCTGCAGCAAATAAAGTACATGGCACAAGCTAGGCGTCCTTCAGCCCTCAAGGCTGCCAGATAGGACTTGAGAACACACAAGCCTCCTCAGCAAGTGACCTCATTAGTTTTTACAAGTGTGCTATGCAAGTGTGTGTGTGTCTAAAGTTTATCATTAAGATGTCTTTCCTAGCCAGTCATTAACTATTTATTTTTTTCTGAAGTAATTACTATATTAAGGAGAGAGGATTAGGATGGTATGCAAGCCCACCCTACTATAGGCTTATATAAGCTCATAGGACCTCAGCACTAGGCACTTTCTCTTGTATAATGCTCACCTAGAACACAACATTCAGCCTAAATCACCAGAATCTCCATCCAGCTATGCCACAGCTAACAGTCTACAGGATCCTGGCCCATTGCTTGCCAGTCTCCCCACCACCAGCCTGCATCACCCACAGTCTCCATCTAACTGTACTGCAACTGACAGTCTATGAGATCCTGGCCCATTGTTGACCAGTTTCTCCAAAACCAGCCTGCATACCTATGGTCACATGAGTCATTGTTTTGATGGATCTGAATCTTTGGGATACCGTCTAGTAAATCAGTGAACCCAAGAGTCATAGAAGAATTAGGGAACTGAGGCATGGATGTTAATGTTAGAAATTATGGAATTATACAGCTAGTTAAGCATTTGGGACTATGTTGACCTTATAAACAGTATGCTATTAATATTAGCAGGACAATAGGACAAATGAGAGAGAGAGAGAGAGAGGGAGAGAAAGTATTCTTTCACCTAGAAAGTAAGGAACATTGCTTTTAAAAAGTAGCTTACCATAGCCAAGCCTATTTGTTCACCCTGGAGTAGTCCAGTCTGTAAAGTCCTATTCTATAAAGTATTTTGGAAAGAGAAGAGGATAATAGATTGAAGATATCCAATCCATTACCCCTTTGGAAAGTATTTCTTCAGTTTTGGAGAACCACTCCTCCTCTCCAATAATTTAGATTTGCCAGATTTAACTCCTGACTTCAGGAGCTACCTGAGGCCTAGGTTTCTAGATCTATCAATAAATAGCAAATCCTTGAATTTTTGATACCATTAAGAAGCATTATTTCACAAATCTACTAAACATCCTAGCTCTTTATGTAGTTCATTTTGTGAATTTTGGCCATTCTTTCTGTTCCTGTTTATAAAAAAATGTGGGATAGTCAGATGAACAAGTAGTCTATGGTTTTCTCATAACCTTATAACTTTTCTGAAAAGGTCAGGACAAATGTAATTGCCTATGCCCAACAAAGAGATACAGATGTTGCAGTATACTCTTTATTTTCAGGTTTAACCCAGCTAGAGGCACACAGTGAAGGAAAAAGGAGGCCCATTCCCAATTGAAGTACAAGTTGGATAGGAATCCCAAGTAGCTGTTTTCTTAGGCATAGGTGGTGACATACTGGGACCCCATGTTCCCAAAGTAAGAGCGTTCCCACTCACTCATGAGCTCGAAGTGCACAGGGCGGTGGCAGAAATTGCAGGCAGCTACAGACACATCTTGGAGGGGCAACCCCACTTCAGTCCATGCTACCAGCAGCTTTTCTGAAAGTAGGAGGAAAGGAGAGGAAAAAAATTGTTATATCATAGTACAGATGCTCACAGATATTGATACCTTTATCCTTTCAAAAGATGAATTGCACTGAGAAAGTCTTATGTCAGAGATCTCTCCAAAGTACTAAAGAGCAACAATGTCAGTCTGGAGACTAAGGTGTGCAATTACTTGCTATGTATCAGAAAGCTGGACAATGACTAGGGATGATAGAAGGAGAATTGATGCCTTTGAGCTGTGGTGCTGGAGAATAGTATTTAATATACCATGGACTGCTGGGAGAATAAACACGTTTGTTCTAGAAAGGGGGAGAACAGGCTGTTCCTTGGAAGCAAGGATTCTGAAGCTTCATCTGACATACTTTGGACATGTTGCAAGGTGGGACCAGTCGTTGGAGAGGGACATCATGCTTGGGAGGGTGGAACACAAGAGAGGAAGACCCTTGATAAGGTGAATTGATTCTGTGACTGAGGTAATGGGGGTAGGTGTGTCAGAGACAATAAGATTGGCACAGGCTAGAGCAGGGTTTAGGGCTGTTGTACATAGGGTTGTTATGAGTTGCAGGCGACTCAATGGCACATAACAACAACATCCATTCAAGGTGAGGATCATAATAATATGGCTTCAAATCTGTGTTTGCTCTAGTGTGTACCATAATTGCTATCATTTGTCTATGTGATCATATGAGTAAAGTATTAGGAAGCATTTGTTTAGCATGGTTTGAAGCCATACTATCCCAGTCCAAAACACTCCCTAAGTACAGGATATGTTGTAGATCCACGAGTGAATCCATTTCATTGGAAAATCCAAGCCTGATGAGAAAGATGACACTAGCAGTAACCCCAGGGTCATTGGTGGTGTGACCAGGAAGCCTGGTGTGGGGTTGCCTGGAATATGGAAAGCTAGAGAAGTACCTCAGATGTACAACAGGTCATTAGTCTTTTTCTAAGTGTATTTCATTATTAATCTTGTTCAGTTGTACAACTTTAAACACCATCTATATACAGATGATTCTGAAATTTTCATCTCTAACCCAGACCTCTCTCCTGAGGCTTCTAGTCCCCTTATTCTGCTCATTTTCTTCCCATAGCACTTAAAAATATTATGGTAAGTAATTTACTTTTAAATTTTTTTCAATGTACTATACCTTTCCTCTTATATATAAATTCTACTTTGTCATTTAGTACAATATCCTTAATTTTTAGAACAGTGTCTAACACACAATTGTTGTTGGGTCCCATCAAGTGAAGTACAGCTTATAGCAACCTTATGAACAACATATCAGAACTTTGTTCTATTCTGCACCATCAGTAGACACTTAATAAATTGCTTGAAGGAATGGATGAAAGAATGTTGTATGAGAAAAGAATTCTCATCCTTTTCCAACAGCTGGCAAATTTAAACTGTGTGCCTTTGGGATTGCAGCACAGCTTCTTACCACCAGAGCTCCCTAAGTTAAGTTGAGAAGATAAAAAGAGTAAATAAACCAGAGTCAGGGATGAGGGAGAACATTCTAATCAGAGAGGAATGGCATTAGCACATAATTAGATATAAGAAAATACAACATGGAGAAAAAAGCAACAATGAACGAATGGAAAGCAAAAAATCTCTGTAAATGTTCATTAAAATTATTAAAATAAAATCTAAAAAAAAAACCCAAACAAAATGGAGGAACTACAAATCATTCAGTGTAGCTAGAGAATGAAATAAATGCAGAAAGAAGTAAGGGCATAGAAATCATCTTATAGAAGGCACTGAATATTGTATTTGTTGTTGTTAGATGCCCTCCTGTCAACAATGACTCATAGCAACTCTATGAATAACAGATCCAACTCTTGCTCTATCCCATGCTATCTTCAAGCTCTCTGACATGTATCTTCTTGAAGGTCTTCCTTTCTTTCTCTGACTGTCTACCATTCCCATTATGTCTTTTCCAAGGACTGGCCCTTCCTGATAACATATCCCAATTTGTGAGACAAAATTTCTTCATCTTTACCTCTAAGGAACACTCTGGTTGCACTTCCTCCAACAGGCAGCCTGTTCTTTAGGCAATCCATAGCATTTGCAGTACACTTCTCCAAAACCCCTACTCTAAGATATTCCCACCCCACCCCCCGCTTTTCTGTTATCCTTAGTTAACTGTTCAACTTTCAGATGCATAGACACAATTGAAAATGCCATGACCAAAACTGGACTGCTACCTGCAGGAAGTTAAAAGAGGATTCACATTTCACCCCATACACAAAAATCATCTCAAGGTGGATAAGAGACTTGGGAGTAAAGCCCCAAACCATAAAGTTCTTAAGAGATAAACTGGGATCAAGCTTAGAAGCCCTAGTCTACGGTATAAAGAGACTGCCAAATACTGCCAGAAATGTACACTATGAAGAGGACAAAATTGATAAATGATATCTTCTAAAAGATTAAATCCCTGTGTTCATAAAAAACTTTTCCCAACAGGGGAAAAAGAAAACCTACTGACTGGTAACAAACATTTGGCAGTATCATCTCAGACAATGGTCTTATAATGAAAGTTTATAGAATACTCCTGGGCCTCCACAAGAAAAAAATATCTGATAACCCAATTACAAAATGGGCAAAAGACATGGAAAAATTTTCACAGAGGAAGATATTCAAATGGCCAACAGACATATGAAGAAATTATCCAAATCACTGGCAATAAGAGAGATGCAAATAAAAATCACAATGAGGTACCATCTCACTCCAGTCGCAGTGGCAAAGTTTAACAGGGAAGCAAGTAATAAATGTTATGGAGAATGTGATGAGATA